AAATTCAGCTGTTCATTGTCTTTTCAATTCTATCGCTATTCCACTTAGCGTATTTTTTTCTCTTTCACACATAATAAGCTTTAGTTATGAGGAAAAGAGACTGGCTGCAGAGACAACCCAGCCATTCAGGATTTCTAAACGGTCTCATCAGATAATCACAAACATTGGTGCCATTGAAGGGGCTCAGTCCATAGTGGGGAGAAAGCATGGTGGCAGGACCCCAGGCTCAGCCGCCGCGCCTGTGCTGAGATCTTGCCACAACCTTTTCCACCAGGTTGCTCAATTATATTTTTTCCCCCGAATCAACCAATGATTTGACTGAACTGAGAAAGAAGTGGCTGTTTTGACTTGAAACTCTAGCCGCTGCTGAAGTTTGTACTTCACGATAGCTAAGTTTAATTCACTGCTAAATTTAGATTCAAACTGAGATACAAAACAGCTACAGATTATGTTCTAAAGCCAGTAAATCATTGTTAACTTATTCTGTGGCTTTAGCCACAACACCAGCCTGTAAAAATCGTGTAAATACCTCTCTTACCTCTCTCTGAAAACTCCAAGCAGCCAGTGATACTTTGTTTCTTTTTCTTTTTTTCTTTCACTCTGTTATTTGTTTGTTTCTTTGGAGGATGTTTGTTTCTTTGGAGGACTGGTTGGTTCTGGCCCATTTGTTTTTATTCATAATTAGCAGGTTTCCAAGAGCACTATCTCCCTGCACCATGCGGGGTCTTCTGTACCTAAGGGATCCTTCTTCTTAGCCTTCCCAGTCTTGCCTCCACACCTGCCAAGGGTCTTTAACAACACTGGGCCCATGGAAAGAGGCAGGTGTGTATTCACCTGGGGGGCGTGAGCTCATCCCAGCTTCCCATAATGTTGTATGCCTCCTCTGCCACCCAGGCAACCTATCCTTGCGTCTACCACAAAAGAATCAGAGGCCCCAAAGTTGCCCTATTTAGGAGAAGGTTGGCAAAGAGATGTCGTTGGTCATGCCAATTTCGAGAGCTTCACCGATGACCGTGGTCTGGCTAGCTATGTCCAGGCTTAGCGGAAAGAGTGCAGTGGTTGACAAGCCATGTCTGACACGTGTGAGGAGCCCACCGGGTATCTGGTCTCCCTCCCAATTGGAAGGCATTCTTCACACTCTACGTGCTGGTGGAGCAGGTGCAGCTGGAAGGAGCAAGAAACAGGCTGTCTTTCTATCTTCCCAGGTTCATTGGCACTCAGTACTCCCACACCCTCAGAGGTCAGAGAAGACTTTTCCGAAGGTGACCCAGAAAAGGGACCCTCAGTAAAGCCCTACAACAAGAGGTCTGTAATGAAGTGGCTGAGCGAGAGCCGCAGAAGGGCCAGAGTATAGATTCACGTTTCCTCCTCACTCCCTTTAACGATCGATCCTCGTGTTACACTAAACACCTGGGAGATAGCGAGGCTACGGTTTTCCGTGATGAGAAGCAGACGCGTGATCCCTGCCCCTAGAAGCTGGCTGCCCGGGGGCTCTGTGGTGCATCCTTGCTTCCAGCCAGCTGCCAACACTGGAAAACCCTACTCCCACCTTGAGCCCATCTCCAGCCTGCTTTGCTGACATTGTCCTTTTAGAGAGTATGCCCCTTCCAAATAAGAAGGTTTGAATAAATGAGTTATCTCTGTGTGTTCCTTCAGGTGTTTCTTTTTTTTTTTTTTTAAGTTTATATTTGAGAGTGAAATTGAGCAGGAGCAGGGGAGGGGCAGAGAAAGAGGGGGAGAGAGAGAATACCAAGCAGGCTCCGAGCTGTCAGCGCTGAGCCCAACTCGCGCCTCGAACTCAGGAACCTTGAGATCATGACCTGAGCCAAAACCAAGAGCTGGACGCTTAACCACGGAGCCACCCAGGCACCCTCTTTCTTTTTAACGGCAGTGTTTGCTTATGTTAGATTAGGGCGGGGTCAGGACCGACTTCATTCCTGTCTGTGGGTTCTCACCCTTTCAGTTTAGTTTCCTCAGAAAATGTTTCGATTTATTTTGGTTTTCAGTTTTAGCCCACAGTTCTCGTTTTTACTCTCTATTTCTCTCCTCAAGCCCCACCCCTCCACTCTCATGCCTACCCTCTTGCTCTTTCTCTGCTTGAAATCTCCCATAAAAAAAAAAAAAGCATCTTTAACTCTGTAATGATCTCTGTAATGTATCTCACTCCCCGGTGGAGGGAGATATGGTGGCAAGAGTGTGCATCCAGGAGACCTGGATTCTTTCACATAGGAGCTGTGTGATTAGAGACAAGTTAACTTCCAAGAAGAGATGCTTCCTGCCCTATCTTCTTTGCAGAGTTTTTACAAAGATCAAGTAAAGAAATGCCCTCGAATTCTCTTTGTGAAGTCCAAATTGCTGGGTAAACGTTATTTAATCATCGCAATCCTTTTGCAAATCTGGTCACCCCACTGTAAGGTGCCAATTATACTGCAGGAGGATCTGATTGTCCTTTGTGGCAGCTGACCAAAGAATGACAGCTTCTAGGCAATGCCTCTCTCAAATAATTCTCCCTTATCTGGGGTTCCTCTTCATCATTCCCAAGAATGCTGCCTGATTTCCTGACATTAACCACAACACAGACACATTCAGGAGGGAGAAGCTAGTAGGGCACCTTCAGTCAAGGACACACCATCACCTGCATCAGCGTGCCTCCCACGTTACTCAGAGACTTTTATCTTTGCCATCCATAAACTTCTTTAGGTGCAGGTCAGAAATCTCCAGATCCCTCCCAGCCAATGTGTAGACAAAATTGTAGAGGAAGACTGTGCTTCCAATGTTGGGATTTCTGTTTTGACAGCCTTGTATTTGTATCTCAGTGAAAACCCCCTTAATGCTGAATCTGTTTTCCTATTGGTGTTCTACTTTAGTAAAATGATAAATTGCATCTAATCTGTGCTATACTGCGTGGGAGCACTTCCCTAAAAATCTTCTCCATACTTCTATTTTAAGAAACGATTTGCATTGAAAAGTTAATGAATATCAGCATTGTGTGTGAGGAGATGGCACCTAACTAAAAGCTCAAATATCGCATAATACAATCAGTTCGTATTTTCAAGATAGCAGTTCATCAACTATAGAAATTTGGTTTCTGAAAATCCTCAGGGTAGAATTTATAGTTGAGAAATAAAATATCATACAGAAAAAAAAAAAAAGCCCACCAGGTCTGGTAGAGCTAAGGTGCATTGTAAACCTTAAAATATTCTGACAAATATATTTTAATCAGTTTCAATGAAACAATAAAGGCAGCACATTCCATAAAGACAGAATCAGTGAGATGATGAGGTTTTCACCATTTGAAATTTCTGATGGTGTGTAGAGTATTTGTTTTGCCTCTCTCTCCAAAAGGGATTTGCCGCCATAGGCCCAGAAGTATGGCTGAGCAGGAGGAAAGTCAGTGCTCCCATAGACTCGGCCACGAGAGGCAGGAATGGGATAGAAAGCAGGCTGATTGTCTTTTGCCTCTAACCAGGCTGCATGAGACCAGGGAGTAAATACCCAAATGATACCCTGAAGTGCTGAAGGGAAAGCAGAGGAGTATATTCCAAACAGATCAATCAATGTCATGGGCATGCGGGGTGGAGAACCACGGCAAATGATCAAAGCTGAGGCTTAGAGTCCAATAAAGAGCTTAGAAAGGAGAGAAAGAAGCAAGAACGAACAATGGTGGGAGATAAGGCATTAACCTCTGCAGCAGTTTTGCACATTCCGGGTACACTGTGTGGACGCGCCAGGTCCGTCCAAATGTTAGAGTGATACCTGGGCTGCCCTTGGACCTCCAGCAAAGGTCTGAATCCAACGGCAGAAGAAATATGACTTGGGCTGTTTCTGTGTGCAGAGTCAAAGAAGTTTAAGTCCCAGGAGGGCATGCCTCTTGAGGAAGGAGAGACAGCCTACAGGGCAGTGAGTTTCTGACAGCGGACCAAAGCATCCCTCCAAAAGTCTGTCCTTCTGGCTGTGTGTCCTAGAATCAGCCAGCGCTGTGTAGGTCTTCATCAGGTCTTCAACGATTTATGTGCTTCCAACCGCCCTATGAATGAAACTAACACTTCCCTCTAGTCACTTATTATTCTTCCTTTTCAGAGATCTCTCTCCATCTTCACTTCTCCTGCTGTTATATTATACAGCATTTCTTTAATAAACAACCTCAACATTTTCAACGTCTCAGCAAGTTTTGATACAAGTACGTTCATTCATATCTTCCACTTAACAACCAAGTTTCCTGCCAGTCCTAACCTGTCCTAGTCTCAGTTTATTACTGAAGATCCTTGTATTAGGCTTATTATCAGTATGTTTATTTTCTTCTTCAACAAATCCAAAGCTGGAGAAGTTGGTTGCCAAGAGGATCTTCTTGGAACTGTCAGACCAATTCCCTGAGAATTCAGGAGAGCGGCAGTTTCTTAACGCACCTTCTCTTCTCTTGAGATTTCCACCATCAAAGTTTTAAATATTCAGGCTAGTCATCAATGAGCAAAATGTCTGATTTTAGAGACATGCCTTCTTCAAGCAAAAAACTAGACCAACACCTACATTCGTCAGCTCAGGATGCGATATAACAAAATACCATGGACCGGGTGGCTTAAATGACAGAAATTTCTTTTCCTTCTGTTATGATGACTGGAAATTCAAGATCAAAGTATCAGCACAGTGTCTGTTGAGAACTCCCTCCCTGATTTGCAGACAGCTCCCTTCTCCATAGATTCACTAATGGCAGAGAGAGAGAGAGAGAGAGAGGGAGCAAGTTCTCTACTGCATCTTCTTTTAAGGACTCTAATCCCATCCTGAAGACCTCACCTTCTTGACCTCATCTAAACCGGATTATCTCCCCAAAGCCTCATTTCCAAATACCATCACATTAGGGCTTAGAGCTTCAGCCTATGAATTTTGAGCGTTTGAGAGAATTCAGTTTACAGCGCCATCCAAAGAGCAGATAGGGTACATTTCCGGGATTACCGCACAACTTTCCATACACTTTCCATACCAAACCGAAAGCAGTATGTGGTACATAGTAGCTGTTTAATAATACTGGTTGAGCAAATCGAAAAATGAGCAAATGTCTAGACCTATCCTTCCAATATAATGGCGTCGCATAGCAAGAATCAGCATGCATTTGTTAAGCAAATGGATATATTAGTGAATCAATACTTGGTACCCACATATTCTAGCATTGGAGACCAACCCTGCGCTATAGTTTGTTAGCTGGATGGATCTCACTGCCTGCTGCCAAACCTCCTTCCTGCTCACTGTTTGTTCACTGCGTTCTTATTTCCACCGTAGAGCCTTTGGTGGTTACCTGTCCCTGCAAGAAAGACAAATAGGGTAAGGTTTGAATAAAGCACGGCTGGTTTCTAATCCCACAGCGACCATTTTATACTTGGGTAAAACTGGGCACATCACTGAATGTTCCTAACAATCTCAATCTCCTCGGGGATTCAAATACCTTCAAAGGAAAACAATTAGAATTAAATTTTTTTAAACAAAATTATATTTCATCAGCCCGACGCAGCATCTCGATACATGTCTGTTCTCTCCTGAGAGTGGGCAATTTCCATTTTCTACAAATCCTGTTTCTTCTGTGAAAGTTTTCTCCCTAAAATTGTGTTCAGTCTTGGTGACATGGTTAATCCAGGCACTCTGCCCTCTCAAAGAGGCCCTGAGATCTGATCTACCGGCTCCTTCTTTTCACCGCCTCAGGCCTCCTAGGGGCAGGCATGTATCCCAAGCTTAGCCAATCACGTTCTCTTAGGACATTGCTGAAAAGCATGATACGAAGAGAAAAGAAAATGTTTTTAGGTTCATTCCAGCCGTGATACCTTTAACAGTCGTGTAATTTTTCGTGGTCTTACCTCATTTTCCGGCCCGATTCTCTGGTCTTCCAATTGACTACATGAACTTAATCAAATATATGATTTGATTAAGTTAGCTGCAATTAGATTCTCTAGTTGGCAACCACAAAACGCTGGCTATAATTTTTAAAAATTATATTTTTACGGGTGCCTGGGTGGCGCAGTCGGTTAAGCCTCCGACTTCAGCCAGGTCACGATCTCGCGGTCCGTGAGTTCGAGCCCCGCGTCGGGCTCTGGGCTGATGGCTCAGAGCCTGGAGCCTGTTTCCGATTCTGTGTCTCCCTCTCTCTCTGCCCCTCCCCCGTTCGTGCTCTGTCTCTCTCTGTCCCAAAAATAAATAAAAAACGTTGAAAAAAAAAATTTTTTTTAAATTATATTTTTAAAACTTCTCTTAAAGGCACAAAAGTAGCCAAATAAAAAGAAATAGTTCTTGTTCATAGGCAGAAGGATTTGATAGTGTAATGATAAAATTTTTTCTGTGAAATCAACATGGTAGTAATGAAGCCACCAAAGGCTTGTTCCCAGCTGAAAAAAAAAAGTTTACTAGATATTGAAAGGCATTGTTATACCCCAAATTATCAAAACTGCAGTACTGAACTTTTTAATTAAGGATACATTGATAGCTATTTGGGGAAGAAAAAAAACCCTTCACCTATCAAAATAACTTCCAGAGGGATCGAAGATTTAAATGCAAAAAGTAATCATAAAAATTTTATGAGAAAATAATATATTAATGTACTTACGCTCTTGGAGTGGGAAAAGCCTTTTCAAGTATGAATCAAAAATTGAAAGTCATAAGGGAAGAGGCTGATTAATTTGGCTAAATATATTTTAAAAATTCTCAGTAGAGCAGAAATACCAAACACATGACCCCCTCCACTGCACTGATTCCCGGTTTGCTCCTAGCCTCCTCATATTACTTGTGATTTACCATTTAATCCCTGTAATCGTTTCTTTGTAACCCATAGTGAAGATTCCATATCAGTACTTAGTTATACAATATTGATCCAGATTCAGGAATCTGGTGATAGTCCCCTTGAACTGAAGCATGTGCATTATTGAAATATGTGTGAAATGATGAAGGTAGAGTTTTAAAATACATATTATCTGTCAAGTAAGCGCTTTACATTCATTGTCTCCTTTAATCCTAACAAATAATTCAGCCCACAGTTCTAAATGACTAATACTATTACATGCATTTTACAGATGAAGAAATGGAGAGTTGAAGAGGCAGGGTGAAGACTTGAACTCAGGTCTATCTTTGAACCGAATGTGTGTTGTTAGTAGCTTCATTGCGCGCTGTTGATGGAATGGAGATTGACACATCTCCATTTGGAACACTTAGTAAGCATAAGACCAGATGCTACCTATTGTTCTCCCCCTCTGAATAAAAAGCAAGCTTCACTACACACACAAACACATGTTCATTCATTCAAAAACCTTTACTGAGTATCTACTATGTGCCAAGTATAAATTCTAGAAGTTAGTAATCTGTCAGTGAATAAATCCAAGTGTCAAAGTGTCTGCTCTCAGGGGAGGAAACAGTACGAAGCAAACACATAAATGCTACATGGCAATAAATGCTAGGAAAGAAAAAGCAATTAAGGAGAATAGAGGGATAGAGAGAAGGCAGGATGATCTATTATGACGGATGGTCAGGAAAAGCGTCTCTATTAAGGGGACATTTGAGCAGATACTTGAGGCAGTAGGGAGCCAGGCAGATATTTAAGAAGAGAGTAACAAGCGCGAGAACTCCAAGTGCAAAGGCACGGGCACACTGTCATGCTCATGAGGACCGCCATCCAGAGCAGTGTGACCGGAGCGAGCGGTGGGCAATGAGGTCAGAGGTCTAGCAGGGGCTAGAACACCCGGGGAACATGTCCACCTGCCACGTTCACAAACAATACCCTTTAGTGCCAGTGTCTATGAGACAGCATTGGTCTGACTTTCAAGCAGAAAAAGCATTCTATACTCTTGTGTGCTCTTGGAAGAGAGCTGCACAATCTGATGGCAGGCTCAAATCACCTACTGTGCGGTACCCAACCAGAAAGGCCCACTATGCCCTTAGAAAATGGGAAGCCAGGAGACATTTATGATTAACTTACACATCTGCTAGGTAATCTCTCCCATTATTGTTTTCATCAAGCAGAGTAGACTAAACAGTTGAAATGATCAATTAGCTTAATTGCAACTTGGAGCCGTGTTCCCTACCGTGAAATGAATTCTTTCCACTTTGACGAGGTTATGCATTTGAGATTTACAAGTGATAGCGCTAGTATGATTTTAGTTTACAATTACTCTGATTCTCCTCCTTGTGGGTTCTTGTTAAAAACTCAACCTGTTTAACGTTCAGTCGTTAGCACATATTGGGGGAAGCGAATCAGGGGAAGGAATTCTGTGGATTCTGTAAATACATTTTTGTTTTTTAATTCTGTTCAGCTGTGGTCCGATGTCCTATGTAGACTTGTGATTCGGACCCAAGTCTGATCAAAATCAATGTCAAAAGATGAATTTCACAAGAAAAAGAGTGAGGGGTTAAGAAGGTAACCTTTAAAAGGGAAGATTGTTTAACTGCAATTGAGTTACTGTATTAAGAAATTACATTCCTAAGGATCAAGGAATGACAATTTTTTTTTTCTATCCAAGGCCATACAGTAAATATTTTAGGCTTTGTGGGCCATGTAGATCTCTTTTATGACTACTCAACTCAGTGTGGAAATAGTATGTAAATGGATAAGCCTGGCTTGTTCCAATAAAACTTTATTTACAAAAGCAGGTGGCAGGCAAGATTTCCCTCACAGGATGTAGCTTGCAGACTCCTGGTATAGAGCCTCTGGTTATTTATTTCTGCAAGTGATCAGGAAAACAGGTAAGGAGATAGAAAAATAGCACAGCTTCTTTCTCTGTTCTCTTTGCTCATGAATCTCCAAACCAAATGTGATTTTCTTTTTTTTTTCAACGTTTATTTATTTTTGGGACAGAGAGAGACAGAGCATGAACGTGGGAGGGGCAGAGAGAGAGGAAGATACAGAATCGGAAACAGGCTCCAGGCTCCGAGCCATCAGCCCAGAGCCCGACGCGGGGCTCGAACTCACGGACCGCGAGATCGTGACCTGGCTGAAGTCGGACGCTTAACCGACTGCGCCACCCAGGCGCCCCCCAAATGTGATTTTCAAAAGCAACCCAATCAGGCAAAAACAAAAATAAATACCAAATAGAAATAATAGTGGGGCTCAGGGTACAGATTACCTCTGCAGTCCTAGGACAATGCCAAATATATCGATGCCTAACCACGGCAGGGAGGACTCTACTTTTGCAGTGGGTCATAGCAAGTGTCTTGTTAAGGAAGGTTTCCAGTCAGTCATATGGTCCCTCCTACTTTTGTAGCATGTGAAATCTGACTAAGGTTTGGGGGCGTGGCTGTGACAATTGGATCAACCTCTATCACAGACTTTCCTTTCTGGGCCAGGAGAAACTTACTGGCTTTCCCTGGGCTCCGGCTATGGAGACCCTCCTGGCTGGCTCCCCCGCCCTGATGTGCCAGCCTCCCTCCCACATTCCCGGCCAGATCACCAGAAGGGTGCTCCTCGAGAAAGAGGCAAGACACAGAGGCAGGATTGCTTCCTGTACCCACTCAACTCAACTATAAACCCTTAGAAGGGCAAGGTCATACGGCATATTTCTTTCTTGTACCCTTTAAGAGGCTAACATAGACCTGTCTGCAGAGAGGGTGCTCGAGGAACGCTGGTTGGAAGGAGGTGCCCCCAACCCTGTTGCTATTTATCTACTGATCGTTCAGGGCCTTTTCAGGTCCTAATACTCAGCAGCCCTCACTGACCTTTCCCCCTACCTCCTCGCACACCACTTCCCATGCCAGACAGGAACTAAGCCCGAAGGTGAGACGCTTTACTTGTTGGAGAGCCTCAGAATTTTGTTTTCATGGCCCATAAGCAGATACATTTCGTGATTCTGTAACATTAAATCACATGCGTCCTCATTAACCAACAGTGGTGGTGGAAAACCTAAACACAGAAATAGGCTGGTGGGACATGTGAAAGGCACACGTTCCCCCTCCCCAACAGCCTTTTTTTTTTCTTTCTTTTCAGATGACAGTGACAGATTGTTCTCAGGAAAAGGCATAAGTTACCCCGTGTGCTGGACGCTCTGTTGTCACCTCAGCGTTGCCACCCCTCTAAGTCTGGTTACCACGTTTCACAAATTCCCTTCTCTACACGGCCCAGCTTAGGGCTTGCCCACGAGAGGAACTTGCAGACATTTGGGAAGTGGAAGTGAAGCACAGCCGTGCCTATTCTCCAGAAGCGGCTGTAGGCTGATGTGGAGGCAGAGAGGAGATTCCCAGGGGCTTCCAGAGAGTTCTCCAGAATCATCTGCTTTGCCGCAGCAGACTGAGACTGTTGAAGCTCCTCTAGGATTTCTAAGAATTCCAGCAGCT